CCTCCATAGACTGATGTCGCTGGCCCTGGGCACGGGGATGGACACCGTGCCCCGGTGACAAAATTGGTCCTGATAGGCGCTCGGGTATCTGATGTGACATATCCCACGACGCTGGACATATCCCCCGACGTGAGAAATGGGCGATACGAGGAGAGAATCTGGATGACGACGAAGGTGAGGAGGATCGGTGGGGGGACGAATACAAGGAAGAAACGAAACGGTGAGGAGGGGGATGCAAATCGTGAGTACTACCCTCTCCTCTCCCATGAAAATTTTCGGAAGATGTCCGTCCCTCTCCGCGCATTGTGCACGGTAGTTCAACAGTTGTTGTTTTCTCATTTGATTTTACAATCTGAGTGTTCTCGGTTGTTCAAAATGGCGTTTCCGCTGCAGCGTGGGCCTCATTGTCGGATCGGCGTTTTGATCCCGTCGTCCAGAAAGGCGCTCTCCCTCGCGCGGGCCTCTGTTCTGGATCCCAGTCCTGTGTCATCGCTGTCGTCCCTTTCATTTTCCCTCGTCCGCCTTCCCCTGGTCCTCATGCTCCTCTCGCTCCTTCGACTGCAGCTCCTGCTGCTGCTGATCGTCCTCGTCTTCCTCCTCTTTCTTCCTCGTGCTCCTCTCTTTCCTCCTGATCGTCCTTCTGCTTATCCGCCACGTCGTCCTCCTCCTCCTGCCCCCATACGAGCAGTTCCCATTCTCCGATTACATACTCATAACACGGTGCGGTGTTTCTGGGCGCTCCAGGACTGATATGACGCGAGCGCACCTCGTTTGCCCTCTCCCTTCTCTCCTCCTCAATCTCGCCCATACCTTTCGCTCCGCCTCCTCCTCCTCCTCCTCTTCCTCCTCCTCCTCCTCCTCGTCCTCGTCCCGTTCCTTTTTCCCCATTCCGCCCTCATCCGCTTCGCACTTCTCCCCTTCCTCTTGCTTTTCTCCGCTTCTCCCTCCAGGGGAGGGGGAATGAGGGGGAGAGGAGGAAGAGGAGGAGGAGGATGAGGAAGAGGAGGAGGAAGAGGAGGAGGACGAGGAGGAGGAGGAGGAGGAGGAGGAGGAGAGGAGGGAGAGCAGAGTACACACACGATGCATCAGCGATGCTGCAACACATACTCTGGTCCCAAGTCTCCTTCTCACAGGTTCCTTCAAGCTTTCGTTTTCAATGTAAGAAGTGACCCCCTGCAAGACCAGAACCCTGTGGGCCTCCTATTCAGGCGAGAGCTCCGTTTCTGAATGACAGCGCCTTGCATAGCCAGCGAACAAGGTACGCGATGAGGTATAATCCGAAGTTTCAACGAGGTGTCCAGAGATATCCCCAGTTTGGAAAAGGATAGACCCCACCTGTGTAGCTGTTGCACAAGTTCGCACATCTGGCCATGAGTTCCGAGTCTCCAAGCTGGAGCCCCACCTCGAAGAGGGACGCCCGACATCCCGAGGAAGAAGTGCTACGTCTGTTTAGGGTTTTCGTTTCCGGAGCTGAGACTTGAACGAGTCTCAAGCGAGAGCCCCAGTTTGAAAAGGAACCGTCCTCCATCCTTGACCCTGCTGTAGAGATCCACTACGAGTGCGCGCGGCGCTCCCGCATGCGCGAGCGGTGCAGAGGTCGGCCGTGCCGGCAGGCCCTCTGTCCCCCGGAGCTGCCGAGTGGTTCCCAGGCAGGCTGTGTCTCCCGGGCGTCGGTGCCGGCATGCCTCGGCGCCGGCGAGGAGGACCTCCCCTGGGTCCGAGTCCATGGTCTATGGTCAGCGGCCATGGTCCACGCCTGCCTCCCCGCGCTGTCCCCAGAGGAGGAGCGCCTCCTCTTCAGCGAGGCGTCGCCGGCCTGGGCGCGGGCTTGAGGCCGGCGCAGGGGTTAATGTCCCTGGAGGGAAAAAAAGTTCCGAGTCCCAGGGGAGCGCACGTCTCGAGAGGGCGCGGACAACCCGTCGCAGCCCTCCGGCGGGGAGCTGTTTTGGTGCCTCTGACCCGCCTCTCGGGGCCAGCCACCGCCCACCACCACCCACCCACCTCAGCCCTCCCTCCTCCTGCTGCCCCGTCCCCTCCCCCTCTCCTCCTCCTCCTCCCCCCCTTGCCCTGCCCCTCCTGCCACGTCCCCTCCCCCTATCCTCCTCCTTCACCCCCCCTTCCCCTGCCCCTCCGAGATGGGGAGGGGGAGCCAGGACGGGGGTGCGGCCCGGTCGCATGCATCCCCGTCGGGGCAGGACCATCCGGAAGCTCCGCAACGTCATCAACGCTTCCGCCTCCAAGCAGGCGCCGAGGGTACCCCGAACCCCGTGGGGCCGATGCTCTCTCGAAGGGGCACCGCCATCGGGGGCCTATCGGCGATCTATCGGCGATGCATCGAGGATGGAGGCGGAGGGAGGAAAAACAGAAGGGAGGAGGACGGAGGAAGAGGACAAAGAGAGGAGGGAGGAGGAGGAGGAGGAGGAGGAGGAGGAGGAGGAGGAGCAAGGAGGAGCAGGGAGGAGCAGGGAGGAGCAGGGACAAGCAGGGAAGAGCAGGGAGGAGCAGGGAGGAGCAGGGAGGAGCAGGGAGGAGCAGGGAGGAGCAGGGAGGAGCAGGGAGGAGCAGGGAGGAGCAGGGAGGAGCAGGGAGGAGCAGGGAGGAACAGGGAGGAGCAGGGAGGAGCAGGGAGGAGCAGGGAGGAGCAGGGAGGAGGAGGAGGAGGAGGAGGAGGAGGAGGAGGAGGAGGAGGAGGAGGAGGAGGAGGAGGAAGGACGAGGCGGAGGAGGCGGAGGCGAGGAGGACGAGGAGGACGAGGAGGACGAGGAGGAGGAGGAGGAGGAGGAGGAGGAGGAGGAGGAGGAGGAGGGGAGGAGGAGGAGGAGAGGAGCAGGGAGGAGCAGGGAGGAGGAGGAGGAGGAGGAGGAGGACGAGGAGGAGGAGGAGGATGAGGAGGAGGAGGAGGAGGAGGAGGAGGAAGGATGGGGAGGATGAGGAGGAGGAGGAGGAGGAGGAGGAGGAGGAGGAGGAGGAGGAGGAGGAGGAGGGAGGAGGGAGGAGGGAGCAGTTAGCAGGGAGGAAGGAGGAGGAATGGACACGTCGACCCCCCATCGCCCACGCCTCGCCGATCGGGACCCCCGGTTGCCCTGCGCCCCTCCCCGCCCAGGAGCCGCTCGGTGTCCGCGTCGGTGGCCTGCCGCCGAGCCTGGCCGCGATGCGTCGCCGCCTCCCGGTCGGTCCATGCGTCCCCCCCGCGAGTCGTGATGGGCCTGTTTTCCACCACCACCACCACCACCATGAGTTGGAGGGGGAGGGGGTCCTCCTCCTCTTCCTCCTCCTCCTCCTCCTCCTCCTCCTCATTCTTCTCTTCCCCCCTCCAACTTGTGGTGGTGGTCGTGGTGGAAAACAGGCCCATCAAGTTGGTCCCCCTGTCGTTCTCCCCACCCCCCCTCCCCTCCGTCCGCCTGCAGTCAACCCGCATAGGAGAGACGGGCAACCTGCCCCAGGGTACCCTTGCATCCTTGCCTCCTCGGTCCATCCTTGGCCACCTTCGTCGGCCGCTCCCCGCTCGAGGAGCTTGGGCACGGGCGTCCAAGGCCATTGCATCCTTATCGCGCATCCTTTGCTACGGGCCGACTGTGCCCGAGTCTGGGAGCTGCCGTCTGGCCAGCTGGGGTTTGCGACAGGGCCCTGGCGGACCCGGGTCAGCGCTGGCCCTCGCGCCCGCGTGCCGTGTTTACCAGCAGCGGCAGACACCTCTGCCCCGTCTCGGCGCCAGGGTCCCGCACAGATCGATCCAGCTAGAAGAGGCCCGCGCAAAGAGGCGCTCAGATCAGATCTAGGTCTTGCTCTCAGCACCAGGACCTTCGCCACGCCGTTGGATGCCAGGTCCGACGACCTGTGCGAGGTTAGGGGAACGAGCAAAAAACTCGGAGGTCCGCGCGGATTTCTCGGATCGGCGCTGCAGACCCCTGACGGCGCCTCTGGCGCCGCCCTTGGCGCGCTCCGCGCGCCAGGGAGGGGGGATGGAGGAGGGAGGAGGGAGGAGGGAGGAGGGAGGAGGGAGGGAGGGAGGAGGGAGAGGGGGGAGAAGGGAGGAGAGAGGAGAAAGGAGGAAGGAGGGAGGGAGGAGGAGGAGGTAGGTGGAGGGAGGAGAAGGAGGAGGGGGAGGAGGGAGGAGGGAGGGAGGAGGAGGGGAGGAGGGAGGAGGGGAGGAGGGGGGAGGAGGGAGGAGGAGTGAGGAGGAGGAGGAGGAGGAGGAGGGAGGAGGAGCAGCAGGAGGAGGAGCAGAAGAGGAGGAGCAGGAGAGCAGCAGGAGGAGCAGGAGGAGCAGGAGGAGCAGGAGGAGCAGAGGAGCAGGAGAGCAGGAGGAGCAGAAGGAGGGAGGGAGGAGGGAGGAGGGGGAGGGAGGTGAGGGAGGGAGGGAGGGAGGGAGGGAGGGTGGGAGGGAGGGAGGGAGGGAGGAGGAGGAGGAGGGGAGGAGGAGGAGGAGGAGGCGGAGGCGGAGGCGGAGGCGGAGGCGAGGAGCGGAGGCGGAGGCGGAGGCGGAGGGCGGAGGAGGAGGCGGAGGAGGAGGAGGCGGAGGAGGAGGAGGGGGGGGAGAAGAAGGAGGAGGAGGAGGTGGAGGAGGAGAGGAGGAGGAGGATGAGGAGAAGAGGAAGAAGAGGAAGAAGAGGAAGAAGAGGACTCATAGGAATAATGAGGAGATGAAGATGAATCATACTATGAAGAAGAGGAAGAAGAGGAAGAAGAGGAAGAAGAGGAAGAGGACTCATAGGAATAATGAGGAGATGAAGATGAATCATACTATGAAGGCTAAGACTAATCATTGCAATACGAATCGGAAAGCTCGTACGAATCATGCTAATAATAGTGGTATTCACAATGCTACTACCTAATACGAATAGCCATGTTTTCAGATAACGATTAGGACTAGCAACAACAGGGCATATATGAATCAGAGGAGGAGGAGGAGGAGGAGGAGGAGGAGGAGGAGGAGGAGGAGCGACAGGACGATTCGCGTCTTGGGGTTGGCGCGGCCTGCGCACGGCCTGGGCTCCACGAGGCGCGCATCGACAAGCACATCCAGGTCTTCCTCAGGCGCCCCCCTTGCGCTGCTCGTCCTTCCCCCATCCCCTCCCTTCCCCTGCCCCCTATCATCCCTCCTTCTCCTGTCTCCTTAACACCCCCCCGCCTCTTCCTCCTCCTCCTCTTCCTTCTCCTCCGCCGCCTCCTCCTCCTCCTCTTCCTCCGGTTCCTCCTCCTCCTCCCCCTCCTCCTCCCCCTCCCCCTCCTCCATGTTTCTCGATCTTCTTCCTCATCCTCTCCTCCTCCTCCTCCTTCTTCTCCTCCTCCTTTCCTCCTCCTCATCCTCCTCCTCCTCCCCCTCTCCCTTCCCTCCTCCCCTCCCTCCCCCCCTCCCTGCGCCTCTGCGCTGCTCTTCCCTCCCTCTCCCTTCCCTCCTCCTGCCCCCTGTATCGCCCATTCCTCCATCTCGTCCCTCGTCCTTCCCTCTTCTTCTCTCCCTCACGCCCTCGCAGCACTTTGCCCCCTCCCCGTCCATCCCGGCAGGGGAAGGAGGAGCAAGAGTTGGAGGAGGAGGAGGAGGAGGAGGAGGAGGAGGAGGAGGAGGAGCAGGAGGAGCAGGAGGGGATGGGCTGGAGGAGGAGGAGGAGGTGGAGGAGGCGGGCAAGGACGGGGAGGCCCGAGGAGAAGTTCAGAAGGTGCAGCCAGAGGAACTCACTTGAAGCCTCTAGCATGAAAGCCTTTGAAGGCCGCTGGAGGTGCTCGGTTCAGAGCCGAGCTTGCTCAGGCAGACCTGATGATGAAGATACGTCGCGATCGCTCTCAGCAGCGCCCGATACATGCTCCAGACCTCCCTGGTCTCGGATATTCACGACTGTTCTGGATCCGAAGTGTTCTTCAACCTGCCGTCGGCTCACAAACAAACAAGTGAGTGCACCCTTCGTGAGCTGGACGGTTCCTTCATCGCGTGCGCCGGATGGCTCGAACTGAACGCTGGCCCGAAGGATTGCAAAAAACGAAGGATTGCAATCCTTCGTTGTTTTGCAATCCTTCGGTTATTTGCAATCCTGGGTTTTTTTGCAATCCTTCGGTTTCTTGTTTGCAATCCTTCGTTCGTTTTGTTTTGCAATCCTTCGTTCGTGGAGGGGCGGTAGCCTGTGCCAGGATACATGCTAGTGCCACAGAGCCCACGGAGACCTGGTTGGGACCCCTCTGAGGTGCCCTCGTGGCCGCGGCGGGGTTCGCCGTAACCTAGCATTGCAAGCACGCGCCCTCGGAGGGGCTAGTTAGCAGGTTGACCTGTGAGCGCCGAGCTTGAGATCCCCCCCTGCTCGAGGAGCGCGACGGACAGCTTTCCTTACTCGTATGGCGCTCTCAAGCCCGTGCCTTTTCAGTACGCGTGTCAACGTTTCGCCCCTGCTGGGGCTCGTCAGGACTCGAATGAAAATGGCAGCGGCATGCGAACACAGCAAGTGCATGATCGACACAATACTGCGGACGGCACGCTCGGGCCTTCGGACCATCGAGGGACCATCCTGGGTGGGGGCAGATCCCGCTCCAGGGTTGGGGGGGGGGGGCGATGGGTCAGGAGGGAGAAAGAACACACAGACTCACTTAATCCTCGATCCCCAGGAGAATATGGGAAAACCCGGGAAGTGGGGGGGGGGAGGACAGAAACCCAGAAAATGTGAAATATGGGGAATCCTGTGATTGGTGTGTATTTGCTTGTGTGTCCCAGGGCCCCTTCAATGGGGGTGACCCACATGTACGGGTGAAGCCAATGGGCCCCTTCTGTTGGAGCCAGCAGAGGTTCTGAAGGGACTCTAAAGGTCCTTTCTACGCCCCTTCTCTTCAGCCCTCCCTGTTGGGGTCACCCCCGTTGGAACCCGCCCGATGGAGGAGGAGGAGGAGGAGGAGGAGGAGGACCTTGAGGTGCCCCGAGAAACTGCGAGCGCTGGGTGTCAGAGCACGTTGTCGGTTCGGGCATCGGGGCCATCGCCATGGGTACTACCCAGCGTTCGTGGAAAGTTTGTATGTTCTGGATTCCGAGATCACAAACCACTTCAGGCGCTTTCCTTCAAGGATCGAGTTGCTTTCGTTTTCCCTCATATTCTTCGGGGGGCGGGCGGAAACCAAATCTACTGCAACGCTTTCCTACTTCTTCTGCCCACTTCTTCCCACCGACGGGTACGGAATACGGTCGGACGGGGCTTGGACGAGGATAAATCCACTCCAGAGTGTTCCGGAGCGCTACCCGAGCTTTTCTGAGCGCTCTGAGGAGGACGCGGCGCCCGAGACATCCTCCAGAGCCGCCGGATCTCAGAGATTCTCGATTTGTCTCACTCGATGTTATCCTCTTCCTGGCTTCGTCTTGTACGGAAAGAACGAGTACACAGAACGACAGCAGTTCCTGTCCACTGTTGTCCTGTCCAAACGTGAACTGTCCCTGGAATTTGCAACCAATTCGTTTCAGGGGAAGCACGGCCGCATTAAGAGGGCCCCTAGAGGAACCCCAAGATTTTGAAACTCTCGGGGGGATGGCATCCGCCCACAAACGCAGCTGCTGGACACAGGCCACGGCGAGGTCAGGGCGGGCGGACGCATCCCAAACAAGACGGTGTCACATAATGGCAGGACCTAAAGCAGCTTTCCACAGAGGGTCCTTGAGGATGATCAGCGCCACACTGCGGCTGCGCGTCGGGCACCTTGGACCCGCTGCAGCCAGAAACTGCGACCTAGCCGACTCAAGTTGAGTGCCGTTGATGCCAGTGACTTCGACTCCAAAAGTGGTGGCCGTTTCAAGGCCAGTCTTGTACAGTTTGTGAGTGCCACCCTTAGCACGTTGCAGCATGCGCACCCGATTAAGTCTTTTACGCATCTTATCACGACGCTCAGTGGGCTTCCGGAACTGTCTCCATCTCCTTTTGGGCCGTGCAGCCCCAGTTTCAGCCCCATGGTTGGATCCCGAACGGTCTTTGTTCGGACCTGACAGGGGCCCCAAAGCAGTCCTGAGCTGGTCCTGGAGAGCTTGATGGGGCGCGAGAACCTGATTCTTCTTGCTGGCAATCTGGTACTTAAGCTCGTGGCTGATGCAGTCCGCCATGGACTTGGCGGCTATGTTAAGCTGGCTGACGATGAGACTGAAACTGCGGCCGTGGCACTGGAGCAGCAGGTCATCGATAAACATCGCGACCCTAATGTGATTGTGGGCTTGTGCCCATATACCCAGAGGGGCTAGCACATACATTTGCACTAAGTACGTGGCCCAGCTGCAGCCCGCGGCAATGCCCCTCCAAGGTTTGTTTGCCCACACTGATCGCAGAATCTTGCAACGATGCAATACGTTCACTGGCATACTGGGATAAGATTTTCATAAGTAAACAGCACGGGAAACCTGATTCGACAGCACGATGAGCTAGACACGGACGATCAACATGCTCGCAGTAGTTAGATAGATCATACAAGACTTGCGCACTATATTGCTGCTCTTTAGCGGAGTTGCTGAACTCACATTCCAAACATTGTTTATAGACCAAATCAACTATAGGTTGGTTAGCCTAATGCGCTAGATCGTGTCGACGATGGTGAGCTTCCCACTTTCTTGCCGCCGACCTACGCAGGCGAGCCCAACCACGATATGACGCTGGTAACATGCCATTGGACCTGAAAGAAGGCTGACTGGCTGGAACGTCGTAGTGTTTCAACTTCATCATAAGAGTAGAGACGCTCCCGTGGAGCTGTGTCGGCGTGTGACCAACCTTCTCATGTAAACCGATAAAGTGGCAGACGATCGCCGCCTGTTCGTCATTCAACATACTAAGATGTCGCGGATGAAAGCCATCCCAGGTAGAAGCTGTAGAATCTGGAAAGCTACGGGCCACTTGTCGTAACCTTTTTGGGGGTAATCGGACCAAGGGCAATACGATCATCAGTATCGGGAACAAGTTGGGGTGGTGTATCCGAGGAAACCTGTCATATCTTAGCCAATCGATCAGCTTCAACATGCAAAATGTTCTAGGGCCCACCCGTGTACTGAGACGTGTATTGCACCTCCGATGGGCGCCAGGCCTCCAGCCGTTTAGACCATCTGTGAGCCCAGCCCATTCCCCCTTTCACACTTGACTGAACCCAATCCCTCCATGCCCTCCCATATGCAGCGTTCTCCGCCGCCTGCCCCTGCTGAAGCAGCTTGGTAAACTGCTCCAGCAGCTCATGTAGGACTTGAAACGCCAACTCCTGGTCCAAAACGCCGGCCTGAAAATCAACAAGAAGCACACCTGCTGCAACTCGAATATCCTGAAGCCCCTCCTTGAGGGACACCGCGGTGGAGAACAACTCGGGGCTATCCTCCAAGCTGTCAAGGGAGTCCTGGAACTCTTGCAAATTCCAGTCCTGAATACATCTTCTAAAGTCCTGAACTCGATTACACAACCATTTCACTGTGCCCCTGTAGGCCACCCATTAAGCCCAAATCCTAGCAGCCTGAGGAGGAGTCAGGGCTGGCCTTGGCAACGATGTAGGCGGCGCCGACGACGCCACCGCCGCCTCCGCCGCCGCCGCCTCCGCCGCCGCCGCCGCCGATGACGACGACGACGACGGCGACGGCAACGACGACGACGACGGCTACGACGGCGACGACGACGACGACGACGGCCTGCAACGCCTGCCTCCGCGAAGCGCCTGCCCTCGTCGCCACCGCCTTCGTCCCCAGGCATGCGACGTCCTGATTTTTCAGGACGGCGTCCCTGGAAGTCCCGACTCTTTACATTCCTCGGGGCCGGTTTTTCGTCCTGAGCCGTTTTTGGACGGTCCCGAGGCCCGGCGAGGTCCCCCAAGGGCCCAAAGTACTGAAAAATGTGCCGTCCTGATGTTTTAACGACGCGATCATGTCTTCATCCCCCCCGCCGCCGCCGAGAGGTGCCTGTCGCAGGCGGACCAGAAGACCGCGAGCGGCAGCGCCCAGCGCCTGCAGCAGAAGCTCACGGCCCTCCCCGCCGGAACACGCCGTCGCCGCGTCGTCGCCGCTGCCCGGGGCAGCCCGCGTTGGAGGGCAGAGTCGACTTGCCTCTAGTTCGGATGCACTTTTTGGGAGGTCAAATTCTGATTTAGTTCATCCGGCTTAATCCCGCTTAATGCCGCTGAGTCTGGCTTAATCCCGCTTGATCCCGCTGAATCCGGCTTAATCCCGCCTGATCCGAGGCCCGCTCTGGCGTAACAGCCCCCCAATGGGGCTTAATCCTCCTTAATCCTTCCGACGAACACCTCCAAGTAATTGCCTCCTAACTTTAGAAGGCCAACATCTGGGACCTGCGCGGAAGATTTCTCCCACTGTCTGGCCACGAGCGTTTAAAGACACACTGTATGTCGCCGTCTATAGCAACAGACACGTTTTGGGCGGATGTGCCTGTGGTTCGCGCGGCCGTTCGCGTCCGGCGCTGTGCAAGGGTCGGCGAGAGGGTCGATGCGTCTATTCCACATCTGGCGCCTCGGTCGAGGCTCCAGAGGCGGAGAAGGTACAGTCGGGGCGCTGAAGAAGGAACCCTTTTCATTGGGGAGGGGCTCCGTGTTCCTTAATTGTTTCGCAGGTTGCCTTAGGTTTTCCTTAGGTTTTCGATATGACGTCGAAGTTTCACTTATGGAAAATAGGGGCCTCGTTCCTTATTTAGGGTTCCTTAGCTCAACGCCCCGACTGTACCAATACTGGTGCCCTGCCCTCTTCGCCACGGACGCCTTCGCCCCGACGTCCTGGCCTGAATGCAGCCCTGCAGAGAGGTCCGTCGGGCCGAACGAAAAGGGGGGGGGATTGGAAAGGGGTGGGTACGAAATCTGCTGCGTGCAGCAGGGTTCGGCCCCACCGAACGGCCCGTTCCTCGATACATAGCCGCTTTCAGCGCCGGGAGGCGCCGGGAAAATCAGCCACGTGAGCTGATTCTCAACTCCCCCCCTTTGCTATCCCCCTTTTCACCCGGCCCGAGTCTGGGAGAGGCAGCAGCGGTGTTATCTCCAGAGCCTCCCCAGGACTGGCGGCTGTTCGCTGTCTCCGGCCTCCGGAGACAGGGTTCTCTCAGTGCTCCCTCCTCCCCCCCAAGAACAAACGGTCGAGCACCCTGATAAAGGGTGGACAGACCTCCTACCCTGACACGTCGATTGAGGAATTGGCCGTTTTCGGCCGGAGGGCGTCGCGGCCGTCATTTTTGCGGGTCCAGGTCTGTCGGTTTCGGTCCCAGGCCGTTTTCACTAAAGGGGGGGTTACTAAAGGGAGGTTTGTCCACCGCCGAATTGAGGCGGGCCGAGGAGCAGGAGAAGCGCGGCCGGGAAGCCTTGATCATGAAGAGATGCAGCCAGGACAGGGGTGAGCACGGCAATGTGCATTTGAGTGCACTTGGTTACAAGGGATGGTGGTTGTGCAGACCCAATTGTTCGAGGTGGAGATTCCCATATGTGTATTTCATTTTCCTGGCACGTCTCGCTGTGAGTGTCTCGGCGTGTGAGAGCGAGTCCGAGTGCCCAAAACGGCCTGAGGGGCTCCCAAGAGAGCGCCCAGACGACCGAAGACGCCCCCAGGACGGCCCAAGAAGCCTCCAGGGCGGCCTCAGAAGGCCCCAGGAACGCCCCCAGAGGGGCCCCAGTGGAGGGGCAGGGACCGACACTGTGGGCTCTCTGCCGAAAGAACCCCCAGGAGGCCCCGAGAGGTCCCAAAGAGGCTCCCGAGAGGCTCCAAGAAGCCTCCAAGAGGTTTCCAGGAAGCCCCAGAGGCCCCCAAGAGGTCTCCAGGTCTGCCCAAGAGGGCCCCGAGATGGCCGCGCCCCAGGACCCGAAGACTGCTCAGCAGGTCTCCAAGATGGTCGGAGACGCCCCGACAACGTGGCACAGCGTCAAACGGACAACACGGGAACAGGCAGAATTCGCTTGAATGCGGCGCAGCGTCAAACGGACAACATTGGAATCAGCATTATGCGCCGTGTAGGCATCCTCTTCTTGGTTTTTCTCTTCCTCGCAAGCCACTCCCACTTGCCCTCCAAGGTCGGGGTTCGTGGCAATATCGGGTTTAAACGACTGTGCGCCGCGCTAAGGCGAGAGCCACATGTTGAAAAGGAACCGCCCTCAATCTGCAAAACTCTTGCAATTTGTTTTAACGAATGTGCGGCGCGCTAAGGTGAGGGCCACCTTCTGAAAACGGGTCGCCCTCCATCCGTGAAACCCTCGTAAGTTGTAATACGAATGTGCGCCGCGCTCAGGCGAGAGCGACATTTTGAAAACGGCCCGCCCTCCATCTGCGAAGTTGTTGTGAATTTTCCAGCTTCGGAGCAAAAAGTGGTGAGGAAGTCTTAGGCGAAACGCCCGGCCCGTCCGAAAAATTTGCCTCGGGTGCGACAGGGAGAAGGAGTGGAGGAGAAGGAGGAGGAGGAGCAGGAGCAGGAGGAGGAGGAGGAGGAGGGGGAGCAGGAGGGGGAGGAGGAGGAGGAGGAGGAGGAGGAGGAGGAGGAGGAGGAGGAGGAGGAGGAGGAGTAGGAGGAGGAGGAGGAGGAGAGGAGGAGGAGGAGGAGGAGGAGGAGGAGGAGGGAGGAGGAGGAGGAGGAGGACGACGACGACGACGAGGGTGAGGAGGAGGAGGAGGAGGAAGAGGAGGAGTAGGAGGAGGAAGAGGAGGAGGAGCAGGAGGAGGAGGAGGAGGAGGAGGAGCAGGAGTAGGAGGAGGAGCAGGAGGAGGAGGAGGAGGAGGACGAGGACGTGGACGAGGACGTGAACGAGGACGAGAACGAGGACGAGGACGACGGCGAGCCCTCGCGGCCGCCCCGCACAGGTGGGGTTCATCCGGGAGCTCTGGCGGGAGATGGCCCTCGTGACGAAGCGCCTCGCCCCGCTCTCCCCCTCGCACGCGCGCGTGTTGCAGAGGGGAGGAGCGACAGGCGAGAGCAGTCGGCGGGGGGAGTGGGGGGGGGGACGAGGAGGAGGAGGAGGAGGAGGAGGAGGAGGAGGAGGAGGAGGAGGAAAGGGAGGAGGAGGAGGAGGCGGAGGAGGAGGAGGAGTAGGAGGAGACACTGCACTGTTGGCAGTGCCTGCTGCACATTGTGTCTCCATGCTGCGAAGCGCGTAGCTTTGTAGACATGTGAGGTGACAGTGGGGTACGCCCGCATATTGCAGGGGGCGGCCATTGCCGTTTGCACCGCAGACATTGCCTGCTGCATGTTGTTCCGACTCAAAAAAGGTTTGTTTTTTTTTCAGGCTGGCCCAAGAGGGCCCCAAGAAGGCCCAAAAGCGCCCCAAGAGGACTCCCAGGAAGGCCAGAACATGTACGATTTACTGGTGCAAGGCTTTGTTGCTAGATTTTTGTACCGTTCCACAGCCTGAACACCAGCAGGACTCCAAGACACTAAGCCAGCGACCTCTCGCCCTCAAAGAGTACCCGCGCTTTCCGTCCCCATGCCAAGCAGGCCTATTGTCTTCGGCCCTTCCCGCGCCACCGCTCCGGGGCGCCGCGGTCCGGGGGCCGCCGGCAGGTCGGAGGTGGGCGACCTCAGCATCGCCCGGGCGCAGTACGCGCAGGCCGCCAGCGCGCCAGCCTGCTTGCGCTCTCCGCCCGCGGGCCCCCCCCTCGCCGTCGGCAGGGCCCACAGGCGCCGGGTGGCCCTCGCTCCCCACAGGCGAAGAGGGATCGGAGCCTGTTTTTTTTAGACTCTGGCAAGTTTACTTGCATGGACCGGGGGGGGGGCTGAGCCTGAAGCAAGCCGCAAACGACTTGCACGTTCGGGGGGGCGCGGAAATCACGCAAGTCGAAAGGCACTTGCACGCTAGTATTCGCTTGAAGAGGGGCGAGGGGAGGGGGGGGGGGGGGGGGCGAACGCCATGCAAGTAAACTTGCCCGAGTCCAAAAAAACAGGCTCTCGGCGCCGCGAGCAGAAGCTTTTTGGCGCTCCCCGCGGGTGCCTCGCATCCGCGCTGGGCCCCCCCTTGGCGGCGCCCTCCCGCGCCGCCCCGCGGCGCGCTCCGCGCCCCCGGGGAGGGGCCCAGCGCAGAGGCGAGAACCCCGCGCGGAGCTCCGACGCGGGCAGTGTATCCACATCCACCGCCGGGAGGGTCCGTTTTCGGAGCCTCGGCACCCAGACCCCCTCGAGTCGTGAAAAAATCACGACGGGAGGTTTCTCGCTATTTTCGGCCTCTGAGGGCCCTTACCGGGCCTCGGGACCGTCAAAAAACGACTCGGGATGAAAAACCGGTCCCGGGGAATGGGTCTGGACCTCTGGTGGTCGCGTCATGAAAAATTCATGACGTCGGGGGTCTGGGGCAGGCGGTGGGTGTGGACATGTCCGGGCCCCCGGGGCCCTGGCCCTCCAGCCCCCAAGGGCGTCGCCCGCTCGTGGCTGTGCAAGCGCTGCCTTAGGGTTGCGTGGGTGGTCTTTAGCGCAGCTTGCACGCGGGCGCTCTGCTTTGTCGGGTGCTGCAGGGCGTCCAGCAAAGAACCGCCTGGTGCGGGGTCCGCGCCCTGGAGAGAGTTCAGTCCGCGCGTCGGAGAGGGCATCGTCGCATCGTGGCGCCGCGCCGAGGAGCTCGAGCTGGGAGTCGGTGCCGAGGTCCGCGGCCACGAAGGACACGCGCGCCGTCCAGCCGGCCCAGAACGCCGCGGGTCGTCGCGCGGTAGCCCATTGCAGCCCCGCGCCAGAGACTTCGATGGGGGAGGCCGAGGATCTCCGGCGCCTTGGCGTCCAGGGACCGCCCGGCGAGCTCCGCCCAGTAGCCCGCCATAATGGCGTCGTAGCGGGCCGCCTCTGCTTCGCTAGCCAGCTGCGCGCGCAGGACGTGCTGGCTTGCAACGCCCGCGTATAGCGCGCAGCAAGCTCCCAGTCGCCTACAGCGAGAGGCCGTGCTCGCCAACTGTGCGCTTCCCAAGCGGCCCGAGGGCGTTCCAGAGCTGCGTCAAGCGCTTGGCCGACTGCTCAAGGCCTCTGCTATTGCCCTGTTCGAGAGGCGAGCCTGCCACGTCGCCCCGCCCCCGCAGGTGCGAACCGAGCACGGGGAGCGCCGGCGCGAAGTGCGCGCGTAGCTCTGGGGGCAACGCCTGCTGCTCAAACGGAGAGCATACCTGCGTCATTTTTGGCGTCGAGCTCCAGCCCGAAGGGCTCCAGGAGCTCCCGAGCGGCGGAGGGCGGCCGTGGCGAGCCTCGCTGGGAGCACCTGCCGCGAGAGCTCCTTCAGCAGCTGGGAGAGCGCCGCCCTCTGAACGACCGCGAAGGCAGCTGGCGCCAGAGGGCCCCCCTGGTCAAAACCAAGGGTGCTCTCGACTTCCTCGAAGTTGCCCACTGCGTCCCGCCAAGAGGTGCTTGGCGGACCTGGAGTACCACTTGTCAAGCACCCACGCTATGTCCGGCACGCGGACAGCCATGGCCCCGATGGTTGGGTCTCGTCGCAAGCGCTAGAAGGTTGCCTTGATGTCCACCCTGATGAACACAATTTCCGGGTGAGCGTCGGACTGGGCCTGCAGCTGCTTGACCACCAGGTCGGTCCCGCACTTCCGGCCGACTCCGTATACTGGTGGGGGCCCGCCGCCTGCCGGAGGCTCTTTTTTGGACCCGGGCCAGCGCGCGCATCCGGAGCTTCCTCAAGCTGGCCCCCACGAGCAGTGGGCGGACATCGCCGCTCCCTCATAGTCCACGGCCACCACCTCGCCCACCCAGAAGGCTTGGAGCACCCGCGTTGACAGCTCCCCGACAGTGAGCTTCGTGACCGCCCGGGCCAGCAAAGAGAGAGCGTCTCCGGGTCGTCCGCCGCCGTGGCTGGGTGCCCCAGGCGGGCCCCCAGCAATCCTGGAGCGGTCAGCGGGACACCCCCCCTGCACTTCAGGGCTGGACCTAAACGGTGTTTTGGGTGATTCCGTGGGCCGTTTCTGCTTCGACTTCGTTTTGCGGTAAAGGCGGATCCGAGACGAAGGCGCGGGTCGTGCAGGACACCTTAATTCAATTAGGGTCTCCAACGGCGACGGCCAATAATAATAATAATAGCAATAACAATAACAATAACAATAACAATAACAATAACAATATTTCTAATAATACTACTACTACTACTGCTGCTACTACTACTACTACTACTACTACTACTACTAATACTAATAATAATTATAATAATAATAATGATAATAATGATGATGATAATAATAATAGTGATAATAATAATAATGATAATAATAATACTAATAATAATAATAGTAATAATAATAATAATAATACTACTACTAATAATAATAATAATGATAATAATAATAATATTATATTATGACCTTACACAGAGCACCCCCCCTCCTGGGAAACCGAAAATAAAACAAAACGAACAACACCGTTCAAGTGCAGCCCTGCTGCACCTCGCCCCAGAAGCCTGGGCCCGGGGGCGGACCTGCGAGGGCTGGCGGGCGGAGCAGGGCCGCCCTCCGCCGGCGCGGGGGGGGGGGGGGGGAAGCAGCGCGCGCCTTCTCCGGCGTGCTGCGGCTGCGCGGAGCGAGCGGCGTGCCCCTTGCTGCCCCGCGCGAGCGCCCGTGCTCCCGCCCCGGCTGCGGCCAGAGTGCGGGCCCGCCGCTCTAGGCCTCCTAGATGGGGTCGGAGTAGATGGGGTCGAAGGATCGCGCCGCATCGCCGATGCATCGGCGATGCGGCTCGATGTGGAGCCCGTGTTTCCCCACGCCGACGTCGCCGATGCGTCGCTGACGTCGTCGATGCATCGCCGGCGCATCGCCGACCCCATCTACTCCGACCCCATCTAGGAGGCCTCTAGCCGCGCCCCTCTCTCTCCTGCTCGTCCGCCCGCCCCCTGCCTGGCGGCCTTGGCGGGGGGCGCGGGCCGTCCAGCGGCGTCTCCCCGCAGGCGCGCCCCGCCGGCCTCCCCACTGGCCTCCCCACCGCCACGCCAGGCGCTCCTCGAGAGCCTCGGCGTTGGTCGCGGGCCTAGAGGTCGACACCAACACCGAGATCGGCAGCGTACCTCCACCGAGGGAAGACGATCCCGATCTCGGTGATGGTGGTAATACTCTGGTTCCCAAGGTGGCCGGAACATTGCCACCAACACCGAAATCTAGGATCATCTTCCCCCTGTGGAGGCAAACCCCTGTGCTGGTGTTGGTGCCAATTTCCAGGCCTCCAAGTTGGTGGCCTGCCCGGCTGGCTGAGCCGGGAAGCGCGCGCCGAGGAGGAGCACTCCTGCTCAGAGTCCCCCATCACGGGCCGCCGCCGCCAGCACCCCCAACGGTTGCGGGCCGGCGGCCACGAAAGCGCCCCGGCACCGATCCGGCACCTGCACGAAGTTCAGGGGGTGCTGATGCGCACGGCCGCGGGCCACGGGAGGCGCTCCCAGCACCCGCGGGTGGGCAGCATGCCGCTGTCCCAGTCTTGATGCAGCGGCGGCGGCAGCCGGCTTGCGTCTCCCTGCCGCGGCGGCCGCCGCGAGCGCGGGGCTGGCGGCCGAGCCGGGGCCGCTCCGCGCGGCCTGCGCGTGCTCCTCCGTGGCATGCCCACTGCAGGACATGTTATCCGCGCTGTGCGCCAGGGGACTGACGCACATGAGAGGCATGTCCGTCTCCCTCGATCCCGGCTGCCCGTACGGAGCCAGTCGCAGCTCCTGGCTCTCGAAGGGGATGCCGCATCCTCGACACGAAGCTTGGCGGGAGGTATAGTCGCTGCATAGTCGGCTGCAGGCCCACCGCCCAGCGCTGCGCCTGTCGCCGCCGAGGCTGACGCCTGCCCCCCTCCATTTCCACGTCGCCCGCCTGCAACTCCGCGTCCTCGACCCCCTTCGGCATCTCCTCGTCCATGCCCGGATCTGCGGCCATGGTGGCGGGAGCCGGAGCTCCCGGACGGCGAGAGAGCGAACAACTAAAAAGAGAGAAATGAGAACAGTACACAACAATATCTGATGCAGTGAGTGGCACTGGTGGGACCGGAGCTACGGTATGCGGCTGCCGACGTCGACGGGGCGACAGACGACAGACACGGGGCACCTCCTTCCCCGCCCGCCGCCGCCGTCTTCGTCGTCGGCGGCTGCCCTGCGGCGGCGGCGGCGGCGCGGGCGCTGGCTGCCCGCGGGCCCGCGGGGCGGCGGCCGCCGCCCCCCCCCCTGGCGAGGTCATCGAAGGCCGTGTCGGCGCCCAGCCACGGGACGGGTGCCGCGCGGAGGACGCCGCGGGACTGCAGGCTCGCGCGCGCGCGCACCTCCGTGCCCGCGCGCGCCTCCGCGGGCCTTCGTTTCGAGGCGGCCGCCGCCGTCGCCACCGCCGCCGTCGCCGCGTTTCGCAGAGGCGCCCATTCTTCACGCTCGATGGAGGGTCTCGGCGCTCGATTCTCAAGAGAAGGCAAGTCTCGAGAATAGTCTCGAGATGCTTCGTCCCTCGAAGAAGCGTCCGTTCCGAATCCGCTTGCCGTCTCTCGAGGATGCGTCCCTTTCGAGTCTCACCAGTCCGTTCAGAAACGCTGCCCACAGGAAGAGGGGGTACACCTCCCGATGGGAAGTTGGTTGTTGGAAGAGGAATCGGTGGACCACCTTAGCCTGAAGTCGGGCATGTCCCTCTACAGGATCGGTACACAAAAATAGTCCAACAATAGTCTGGGGACAGTTCTTCCATTATTTCTGAGCATTTTTTGGCTTTTAGATATTTCTCGTCGAAAGCCGCCTGTAGAAGGACGTGCCCGACCTAAGCTTAGCCCAGAGGGCTGGTGGGACTTTCGGAGGTCCGTGCGGATTTTGTTGGGATCTGCGCTGGCCCCGCCTCGTGCGGCTCCTTTGGCGCCGCGCGCCGCGCGCGCCAGACAGGGGAGTGGGTCCAGCGCCGGTCCAAGAACTCCGCGCGGTCCTCGAAAAATTGATGCTCAGCGCGGTTTTCGGACACCCCCGCCCCTCCCCCCCCCATGAAGTAGATCTCGGCTGTTTGGGGCGCCTGTTTCGAGCAGGTGGAGTCCATCCCCCATAGGACACACTGTTGCAACCAGTCGCATTAAGCAAAGGTTTCGAGCCAGACTTCCCCCCCCTCCCCCCCCCTTTTGCCCAATGTCGAAACGGCGGGTACTCCAGATTTCGTAATAAAAGGGAGGGGGTCTGGACCCCCCAAGACAAGCCATTTCAGACCTCCCCCGTGGGAGAACCCTCCAAAGCATCGTCCCCAGACCCCCCCAGGCCCTCCAAGATAGCCTGGAAGAGACCCCCCCCCGAAATGAGACCCCCCGCCCTTTATTACGAAATCTGGAGTAGGAAAACGCTGACATCCAAGAACTCCGTGCGGTCCTCGGAAAACTGATGCTTCTTTATGTTTCTTCCTCTAGTCGCCGCCGCCGTCTCCGCCATCGCCGCCGCCGTCAGCGATCACGGCTCGAGATTCGGGGGTCGAGGGTCGAGGAATATGGTGTTCAACCCATTTATAGCCTTGATCGCTAGAAATAATTTCGAGCACCAACAGAAACTACATTCAATCATTTCACGCATCGATGATGATAATGATGATGATGATGATGATGATGATGATGATGATGATGATGATGATGATGATGATGATGATGATGATGATGATGCTGCTGATGATGATGATGCTGATGCTGATGCTGATGCTGATGCTGATGCTGATGCTTATAATGCTGACGATGAAGATGAAGATGACGAATGTGTTGGTGATGATGATGGAGATGGTCTTGGTGAGGATGCTGTTGATGATATGATGGTGATTGTGATGGTGATGATGAGGATGTGATAATGTTGATGATGACGATGATGCAGATGGTGATGATGCTGATGATGATGATGTTGATGACGATGATGAGGAGGAGGATGAGGATGAGGTTGAGGATGAGGATGAGTATGATGGTGATGATGGTTATTATGCGGATGCTGTTGACTATGAGGACATGCGGAGGGCAGAGACAAGGAGGGAGAGGAGGGAGGAGGGGGAGGAGGAGTGAATGGGTGACGCGGGGCGCTGTTTCGTCAAAACGAGGACTCAACAAAAGGTTGGCTGGGAGAAACGGCACCCGTGATGGCTACGACTAAGAATTGTAGGCCCACCAGCCCATCAAGAAACGATGCCCAGGCGAGTTGCCCTGATCAGGGTTGCGGACGATATTACAGTTGAATGCAGGGCTTGGTAAAACGTTGTATTCCAAGAGTGGGGTGGGATGGAGGAGGAATCGGAGGAGGAGCAGGAGCAGGAGCAGGAGTAGGACGAGGAGGAGGACCAGTGTAAACCCAAGAGTTATCAACGATGTTGGAGTAAACCCTCCCTCCACGCTCCCTCTTCATAGGCCCCTACAACGGTTCATTTCCATTGATGGAATCGCCTCGTTGGAAGACACCCCTTTGAAGACCCTGTAGCATGCGCCACGGATCAACCTGACTGTTGCGTCTTGTCGATCCTGAATCTTGCCAGAACGCCATTCCTAGGACTTCAACGCAGAGAACCAACGTAACGGTTGCACCCACATAACCCTGAGTCCTTCCAAACCCAATTTCTAGTACGTTGATGGAGGGAATCCGTGAAACTCTTGCAACTCTTTATAAGGAATGTGCGCGGCGCTAAGGCGAGAGCAACATTTTGAAAACGACCCGCCCTCAATCCGTGAAACTCTTGCCAATGTTTGAAACGAATGTGTGCCGCGCTGAGGCGAGAGCCACATTTTGAAAACGACCCGCCCACAATCCGTGAAACTCTTGCAACTTTTTACAGCGAAATAAAGTGCGCCGCGCTGAGGCGAGAGCCACATTTTGAAAACCTCCCGCCATCAATCCGTGAAACACTTGCAATTGTTAAAACGAAGGTGCGCCGCGCTGAGGCGAGAGCCACATGTTGCAAACGACCCGCCAACAATCCGTAAAAACTTTGCAATGTTCTTAAAAGAAAGAAAGTGCACCGCGCTGAGGCGATAGCCACATTTCGAACACCACTCGCCATCCATCTGTGAAACTGTTATCACGTTTTAAGCTTCAGAGTCATCGATAATGGGGAATTCTCAGGCGAAGCGCCCGGCCCGCCCTAAACACCGGCTTCGGGGTGCGACAGGTAGAAGTGATTTATAGGGAAAAGGAATGGAGGAGGACGACGAGAAGGAGGAGGAGGACAAGGAGGGAGAGGGGGAGGGGGAGGAGGGAGGAGGAGGAGGAGGAGGAGGAGGAGGAACAGGCGGATGATGATGATGAGGAGGAGGAGGAGGAGGAGGAGGAGGAGGAGGGCGAGCAGAAGGACCCGAGGCCTCTTGGATGCCACTCGGAGCCTCTTCGGACTTCTTTCGAGAGCTTCGTGGTGTCCTCTTGGGGCGTCCCGGGGGTATCTTGGCGGTTCCGGGGGCCTCTTAGGGCGTCGTGGGTGCTTCTGGGTGGCCTCTTTGAGCTTCTGAGGCGCTTCTTGGGAGTCTCGTGGGAGCCTCTTCGGGGCACCGTGGAGGCTCCTTGGGGCCTCCTCGGCACCTCTTGGGGCCCTCTTGGGGCCCTCTTGGGGCCCTCTTGGGGGGCCTTGGGAGCCTCGGGGGCCGTCTTGGGGCCGTCTTTGAGCCATCTTGGAGGAGGTCGACTCATGGAGGGGGGATCCTCAATCAGGATCCCCCCCCCCAACGAGGCCAAGCGGTGGCCACCACCGTGGTCGAATATCAATGTGCGTGGCCTTCTCGCAGGGACCTCTTTGGAGTCTCTTGGGTGCCTCTGGGGAGTCTCTCTGTGAGCCTCTCGGGAGTCTCTCGTGAGTCTCTTGGGGGCATCTTGGGGGCCTCCTAGAGCCTCCTGAGCACCTTTCGGGGCCCTCTTGGGGCACCCTTTGGGACCTCGGGGGTCATCTTGGGGCTATCTTGGAGGAGGGATCGATCATAGGAGGGGAGCTCCTCGATTAGCGCTGCCCCCCCAGGAGGCCAACATGTGGCCAACACCTCAGTCAAGTCATTGTTTTTGGCTTCCTCGCCGAGGCCTTCTTGGACACTCTAACGCCTCGCTGCCCCTTCCCTCCAGATCCCGGGGGAGGGGGATGGGGGAGGGGCTAGCCCCTCTCCCCCAGGGGTCAGGGCAAGGGTGTGTATGGGGTAGGGGGTAGGGGGGGGGGGGGGGCAGGGGAAGAAGGATGGGGTGGGGGGGGGGGGGCAGGGGAAGAAGGATGGGGTGGAAGAAGAAGAAGAAGAAGAGGAAGAAGAAGAAGAAGAAGAAAAAGCGCTCTCAGCCACTCGCGCCCAGAGGGCCATGGTGGCTGTGGTGGGATGTTCTGGAGGTCCGCGCGGGAGGGCAGGATCGGCGCGGGCCCCCTCCCCCCTCCCTGGACTGCGGCGGACGTCCCCGAGGGGTGCGGCGGAGCTCTGAACGCTCGTGCTCGTGCCGAATCTCTCTCTTTCTTTCTTTTTCTCTCTCTCTCTCTCTCTCCCCAGACCCCCTCGAGTTCAGAAAAAATCACGACGGGAGGTTTTTCATGATTTTTTGCCTCTGGGGGCCCCTACCGGCCCTCGGGGCCGTCAAAAAACGACTCAGGACGAAGAACCGGTCCCGGGGAATGGGTCCAGACCGCGGGGGGTCGACGTCATGAAAAAATCATGACGTCAGGGG